TTTAACGCGCTTTCTCACTCTTCTGACTGCCTCACTCTCCTCTTCCATACTCAGTCCACATCTTTCTCCAGCTCATCCTCTCACCCTTGCTCTAGCCTCCTCTACCGTCTCATCCTGGTAGTGCTCCGCGCGCATATAACCATGAGACCATATCATCACATCATAAGTAATCGAGGTCTGGAAGGTCACTCGCGCCAGTACATCAGCTCTACGCTCGTGGATCAAATCCCTGGCTCGTTGTCTGCGCTCACTCGCCGGCAAGTCCTCGTCTAAGTACGCTCGGAGAAGTACTGTCACATTGCATCCTGTGCTTACCAGTTGCTCTTCTACACGCATCGTCGAGGTCGTCCTTCCCGAAGAGAAATTTCGCGTCCTCTAGCCCCGCGTAATCGATCTCTGCCCGTCTCCTGCAGTACCTAATTAGATCGATAGGCCTCAGACAGTCCACCCAGCTCGTAACATCTATGATGTCGTCAAGCGTCTCTCTACTGGGCGGCCCCCACCTCACACAAATGGCGTAGTATACTTCCTTGAAGCGGGGCGCTAAGCCCTCCCAGAGCGCGTAAAGTGTGTGATCCACTGCTCTCTTCAAACGATCCACGCTCCCATAGGTCTGGCCTATCACGAAGGTAGGAAGTCCGAATCGTCAATCCTTTCTCGGGTAGAGGGTCGGATGTGGTGTACCGTACACCAAGCAGCTCCTACTCGTCCTCCCTCCAGCAAGTCTCGCCAATTGCTGATTAACGATCACTCTGGCCAACAACTCGCTTCTCCACCAACTCCTGCTCGCACCTGCGAGCGTTAGCCCTATCTCCAAATCGTGTGTTCTATCCGCTATTAGATGTTCGACCCGTTCTAGATCATGAGTCCTCTCGGGTCGTTCGTCACGTATTATCACTGTCCATAGGAAGAGCCCCTCTGCGAGCCACGTTCCCAAGTATCGTATCGGTACACGCCCGGCCTCTTCTAATGCCACAGGAAGTGGTATGTCGTATCCAACCGCCGTCTCTCTGGGTCCCACAAGCTTCCTCACGCTATACGATTCGGACTACCGTGAGAAAACATATGCTAACCAGGCCGCTGAATCACTCCTCATTTCTTCTCCTATTCTCGGTCAGCATCACTCTACTCCCTCCGATACACCCCATCTCTCGACGTTGCTAACCCTTCTGACAACTCTCGCACTCAGGTCCAGTATGGTCGAATAGGTTCAGTAGCCAGGCTCACTCATCCGTCGCCCTGGTGCGCTCCTCTACCTCCTACACCCGGACCGCTACTCCTATCCTGGGAAAATGGGCGTCTATAACATCAATCTCCTCCTCGTCAACCTCACTCTCTGGGTCGACCCAGTCTGGCTCCTACAGCTCCTCGTCGTCTTCTCACTCCCAACCCTCGTCGTCAGACTCGTCCTCGACGCGGTATGGCGCCTGTCCTATGGCCTGGTAGTATTCCGTCAACTGATGGCCGTATATCAGAGGTCGCCCGGCGTCCTCACTCCACCAGCTCCCCCAGTCGTCTGAGAGGAGCCGCCCGATGCAGGTCACGTACTCGGGGCCTGCTCGAAGCTCACGGTCCAGCCAATCCCAAACGCACGGAGACTGGGGCCACTCGTCGTCTATCGAGCGGATCAGCTTTATAAGCTGAACCCTCTCGTCTCCCCAACGAGGCCCACCRGTCGCGAGCGAATAATAGATATAGTTCAGGTCGGCAGGTCTTCTCGCCAGGATCTTGAGATCCTGATAAGCCAGGTATGTCTCGACCACTCCACCAATACCTCCAAAGACACTCTCTACTACGAACGTCGGAACTATCGCCCGCAGGCCCCTAACGCTGTACAGGAAAAAGTCGTCCCGCGCTACCACTAGCTCGCCCGTGATATCAAGAGGAGAGCGTCCGTGAAATAGGGTTCACGGGTCGCTCGCGTCCTCCGCTCGGAAAGCAGCTACCTCTTCCCCTAGGTAGCGTAGCGCCCTGCTAACTGCGTCACTAGTCCCTGTCGTCGCGAGGCCCACCACGGCCTCCCTGACCGCACCCGGTCCCAAATATAAGTAGGCTCTCACTACGCCCACTCCTTGCCCCGGCCGGTGCTCTCTGTACGTCCAAAGCCACACGTCCTCGGACAGGATTATGGACCTCCACGCAAACTGGCCGTCAGCGTGTCGAATGCTGCGTCCGGGGATCGTGAGCTCGACCAGATCTCCCTCTATGAGTTCAGGGGGCTCTAAGTCCCAGTCAATGGTAGCCCCATAGACCTCTACTTGCACCCGCGGCCACATTCAACTGGCGGCTAGAGAGAGCRCGGCAAGCRGAAGGTGTAGATTAATRACTGAAATTTCGCGTCGTTTTTCTCACGCCTTCGAGAACAAGCTAGTAGGTTCACCTGAAACCAGGTTACCGCAACGTCTCTTTCCCTTCTCCTTCTAGGGAATTCTTTT